AGTTTCAAACTAAAGAAAATAAATACTAAGGCTTGCAAATATTTTCATCATGGTAAGAATATAAGTTTTCGGGCCAGGAAGACAGCTCAGCAGTCTGAGCTCCTGCCTGGCAAGCGCAAGGACCCAGGTTCAATCCCTAGTATCACATACTGTGCTTTGCAGTGCCAAGCCAGCCATCGAAAGTGGGCATCGTGGTGCACCCCTATAATTCGAGTGCTGGCGAGGCTGAGAAAGGAGGATCACTAAGAGTCTGAGCTGAGCAGTGAGATCCTGTACCAAATAAATAAAGATTAAATAAATAATTTTTGTTAAAAAGAATTTTTTTTGGATTTATGTAGATTTCCAGACATAAAACATAAGTATCTCTACAATAGCTTTGGTGGTCAGGATTGCATTTATATATACATTAAGTGATTGAATATGATTCTGCTATAAAATGGAAATGTGGCCTTACCTTATTGTTTTATGCAAGGGCTAAGGTTTACTAGACACTAGATACTCTGAACATTTCTTGCATTGATATTTTAGAGATAAATTTTGGAAACAGTACATTTATAGATAGTGACATTTAAACATATTTTAGTGATAAAAAATGTTATTCAAATGAAATATTACCCAGAAAGTCATCACGTAAAGCACATGATAATAGAACTGCTTCGGAAAAAAAGCACATTTTGTGTGTGTGTGTGTGTGTGTGTGTGTGTGTGTGTGTGTATGCTGTTTTCAAAAAGAAGGAAAGATTGGCATCCTGCAGTCTGACCAATATGCATATCCACATTTGCTATTAAAACAAATTCAAAGTCCCTCCCACTACAGTTATAATGACTGCATCATCCTGTATACGAGTCCTGAACTAAAGCATCCGAAGAATTTCTCTTCACAAGTCTGTCCTATTTTCCATTCCATGGCCTTGTTGCAAGAATAATACAATATAATTAAGATCTCAACATTTATTTTACCAGAGAAGATGAAAAGTCTGTTTCATAATTCATAAGAAAGAGAAAAATGTCTGAGGTCCACAGAGGACATACTGAACAACAACAGCTAGAAAGGATGGAGTTGTCCTCTTAGATGTCAAAATGTATTCAAAATTTGATATAGAGAAAGATAATATGAAGAATAAGGCAATTTTGTTAATGATAAAAATAGTATTTGAAGGCCGATTATGCTGCTTAGACGAAGAGAGAAAGAGAAAAAGGAAACGAGGAAGGACAATGGGCTAATGATTCATGCTGTGAATTAAAGGACTGCCAGGTGATGAAGCTGTCAGATATATAAATATATATTAAAAGAAAGGCATACCATTTAAGATACCTTCAATAGATACGAAGACCTTCACGTAGGTATAAAGTTCTGAAGCCAAAAATGAAGATTAAAACGAGTAATCCTTTAGAAAATAAACTCTGAATAAAAATTCATATAAATAATGTTAAGCACAGCATTTTGGTAGGTACAATTTGCAAAATATTTTTGTGCAATTAAATTTACTTATGTAGTATATGAAAGTTCCCATAAGCCTATGTCAGAAGGAAAGTGTCACTCGAGGCAGAAAATACAATAAAACAACCAATGCATAAAAATGTGTAAGTATTGAAGAACTTGTACAAAAATGTTCAAATTGATGAATAATTGAATGACAACTTGAATTGCAGTACAATATAACTTGTTTGCTTAAAATAAGACCTTGTACTTGTATATGTGCCATTATATAATATCATATATTTAACTAAAGTTTTTCTGAAGATGAAATGGTAATTATAATTCCTATTGCATAAATAAGAAGCTGAGTCCAAGAGAACCCGGGGCTAAAGGAACTGCCCCGAAGTCTCATGTCAATCATGACAGAACCAGGCAGTCTGGTTCCCATGTCATAATTGTGACCGTTTCATTGTACTAATGCTTTCTTCACTTATTTTCTTTCTCTTGAATACATCAATAGCCTCTGGCCACGACTCCTGTACAAACAATGTATTTTGAAGTAAAAATTTGAAGAGCCTCGTGAACAATGCTGTCCCCTGAATGCTTCCAGAAATAAAGAACCTGTCGTCTCACTGCTACAGAAAAAGACAGCAGATGAAGAAACAGCGTGGTGCGGCCGCAGTGGCCACGCACACTTAGACTCGCAGCGAGGTGGACCTCAAGTTGGAGGCCAGCGCGAGCAACTCGGTAACAGTGTCTCAAAAGAAAATAAAAATCAAAGGGCCCTGGTTCAGTGCTTTCTAAGTTCAAGCTCCTCTACCACATACAATCACATACACACAGAGAAGAGGGGAGGGGAGGGAGGGGAGG